GAGTGTAAATATAATTTTAAAAAAATATAAAACGAGATTAATTTTCATAGTTCTGTTTACATATAAAAAATTTCTGTGTTACCTCATCAGAAAGTCCCTTAGATATGATCCATTTATCTAGAAGTTGATTTGATTTAGCTTGCTTTGTAAAAATGAGAAGGAAAAACTCCTGGCCTCTTCAAGAATAGTTTCTCTAAGGAACTGAATTTGAGAAGCTCTATAGAGATTGAATATTGGAGTTGTAGACTCAATCATTTGACCACCATAGCAAGAAAATTTATCGTCCTTCTTGAAGTGCTTGAACACATCTGTGAAAAATTGCACTAATATAATTTCGTTTTCTCACTCATTGAAGTTCAGCCAGCCCTCCTAAGCTATATTTTGTTCTATAAATACAAAAGAAACAAATAGAAGGAAAACGAGTGCCTAATCCTATCAGGGTCCATGCTATATCCATGCAATCTTAGAAGCCTGGATCCTATGGACGTATCATCAATATCATAAAATCTTGAATATCTTGCACTGAAAATTCCTTTGTCTGTCCAAAATCTGAAAGAGCAAATTCCATGATCAGTTGAGATAAGAGTAAGCCAGATGATTGTTGGAACTTGGAAATAAATAATTATGGGGAAAAAGACTACAGAGAAAACATAAAAATTTCTCGAAAGATATTTATATTCTATGGCTTGGCTATATGAAATGTCTCAAGTACAATGCCTTTTATAGGTACAAAGGGTCCCAAATATATTGTATAAAATCTAGAGACTAATTAAAGACTTCTCTTACGTACTATGAATAGTAGGATACAAAGAATCATATGTATACATGAATAAAATAAATACATAAATATTAAATAAACTAATTCATGAATCAAATTTAATTTCCGACATTCATGAATCAAGTTTTAATTTCCAAAGTTCAACGGCTCGATGTCGTTGAAGAAACAAAACAAAGATAGATTATCAACTATTTCAATTTTTTTAACAAATCAAAACAAAACGTGTTGGAACTGGCTTACGTGTACGCGGGTGGATCTGGTATCTGTTGGCAACATTATTTGAGGTCCACAATATGCTCCCAAGACTCTTGAATAATGCAATAAATCTTCAACATTTTTTTTTTAACATCCACAATTTCTACACTAATGAAAACACAATAAATACAATATTTGTGCAACGCACGTGACAAGGACTAGTATTTATTTATATTGTGTGGCCAACACCCTGACTCATAGTCGTACAAATAAGTTGAAGCATGAATAACTGTAGACAGTAGAAACTATAACACATCCATGTGGTGAAGAAAAAATATAATAACACAAATATTTGGAATAAAAAAAAATGCTATCTTCGGTTGAGTGATTTAATGGAGTATTTAATTTGTCAGTGCATTTTTTTAGATCATGTGGACACTAGCAATCCTTATCGACTTGTGTAGAGACTATATATAAAAGTATTGATAGAGACAGAGACACATATATTTATAGTGATATGAAAATATAAACTATATCCATATTTATGACACAATATATAAAAAATAGTGAAATTATATAGAAATAAATAATTAAGAACTAACTGGTAAAATATTTAAGAGAAGGACCACACTTTGCTGCAGAAGACGACGTTCTATAACCAACTGCAGGAAAATAATGAAGCTGGAAAATGAGCAAAGCCTTCATTTTCTGAGTTAGGGGAGAGGGAGAGGGAGGGCTGTGTAGATAAAATGTAATGATAAGTATGGCTTCATTCCGTTTTATATTTATAAGCAGTGTTCAAGTTGACGATTAAACTGGAAAAAAAAGACATATATTCTTTATCAGTCAATTTCCAAGGAATCCACTAATCCCAAGAGGTCTAAAGGTAAAGGCAATTGAGACAAATATTTGAAATAATCTTTATCAGTGTCATATATCTAGTTCATCCTGAATTTATGTAGGCACGCTCACAAATAATCTGTTCATTTTAGAATGTCAGTATTTAGTCACAAACTTATAATGAAATCAATTCCGACCATGAAAACTGTTAATCTTATTATGGCATTCCGAGGATAGGTCTTCTAACGCCTATTGGAGATACCACCACACAAAGTTGTTTAATAGTCCAATCAAGATCACTCCCTTCTTCAAAGTTAAATCGATTGATTAGGTGGTTTAAGTCCACTTAGTGTCGACTTACGCAAAGTATTAACCAACAGAAACATGATGACTATAGGGATCGGTCTGCGTAACGGTAGTTGTGTTAGTGCGGAAACGAAGTGTTGAAGAAAAACTTGAATTTTTATTGATAGTTTTTGAGTTGCTACAGCACACTCAATAATGTTTTTCTTTTTTTTTTCCCCTTACTATGGGATCCAATAAACCCAAGAGGTTTTAAGGGAAAGGCAAATGAGACAAAAAATTGAAATAATCTTTATC